CGCCGACTTTTCCGAGCGTGAAGAAGAAGCGCTCGACTTTCGATCGGGTGTGTGCGTGCACAATGAAGCTGCCGTGCGCGCTGCAATGCATGAAGAGGGTGACGCTCCCGGAATGCATCATGATGGAGCTACTCCTGGAGACAGTACTAAGCCCCATCTTCGATCTGGTTCGTGCGTAGGAGAGCAACAGCCGCCGAATGGAAGCTCAGACTCTACGACGCCTTCTTCTTCTTCTTCTTCTTCTTCTTCTTCATTATTACAAGGCAATAAAGCATGTGCAACGTCCTCACAAGTTGGCTCTGCAGCAGTAAGCAGCACTGTTCCAGCGGACCAAGACGACATCACTTCACCAACCGAAGCAGTCTACAAGATACTAGAAAATCCTGAGAAATATGAATCAGTTATCTTGAAGCAGCTCAAGCACCGCAGTGTTGAATTGGCAGAGGCTTTTGATGGAGATGATGAGCATGCCGCGCCAGGAGCAGAGGATGATGCGCAATATTCTGCTCCTCGTCGTAAAGGACCGCAAAGACCACAAGTAGCCAAAAGTAAAGCAGCGCCGGGGCATCGCGCAGTCGCTACAAAGAACAAATCGAGTAAGAAGAAGCCGACTGATCCTGCAGCGTCATACAAAGTTGTAGAAGATTTTTTACCAAAAGAGATTTTTGACTTCAACACACTACGAAACGGTAGCAAGGTGTGGCATGATCTTCTTACCAAGCAGTCGTCATTCTGTCATGGTCTTGTCGCCATCACCGGTCTGTACTACTTTGCGTTGCTGCTTACTATAGGAGGAGGCATGGATAAGACAGGATATCTCTCAAATGGAGCACTAGCGCACTATATTAGCGGCAAGCTACGGGGTGTCTCGACAGTCATCATGTACGAATCGGCGCGGCGGATCTTTCATCGACCACTTTCTGTTCTTGATTATCATGTACTAACCCAGAGCTCTGCTGTCTGTCATCCCAATCGAGAAGCGTTCTACAATGCAACTACCGAACCGATTTACACCTCTTTAGCGCGGAAAAAGAACGAACCGCAAATGTGGATTCTTAGTCGCATGCTGCTGTCGTGGTTGCAAGTATGGACGAGAGCACAGGCTGTTCCTCTGCTTTCACAAAACCGCATCGTCAAGCATTCCGTTTATGGATTGGACGTCGGCAATTTTTTTGATCTTCGTTCAGCATTCAAAGACTTGACTCGTGCAGCTCATGATAGAAGAGACGACTCTGATTACGAATGGGTTTTCGCAGAAGAGATGCACATGAACAAGGAGGCCTGGGAATACTTGCGCAGTCCATTCATCAAGCGAAAATGTAACACGTCGGAGGAGAATCCCTCCGGGACGTCGTCAACAGCTAGCGTCTTAAATCGTCTCAAGCAGCGTCAACAGCACCACAGTTCTTCTTCTGCAAATGTTTCCAATGCCTCGCGTCTGGATCCGCCAAAAACGGGGCTGCAGGTACTAGTCGAGTCTGGCCGTTCGCTCGAAGTAGCCTTACATGGACACAAAGAAACACTGCCGATCATAGCAGACCTAGCCATGCTCATCGGTGACGATGGCAAGCTTTTCGGCTGCGACACGCGAACCAGGTACATTGAAAGTCTTTTGTTGATGGAGTTTGTTTCCCTCCTTCTTTAAAGAACGTCTTTAGTTGTCGTCTTGGTAGCTCAGTTTTTGCTGATAACGTTAACAACTGGCGATCGCAGAATTTTAGTTAGTAATACCAAAGTTACACAGCTGCTTATCTGGAACTCGTACAGGCTACGCGAAGCGCGAGAACCCATTCGCGCAAAACTCCGGGACGGCATTCTGATTTATCCAAAGTCCGACTTTGTCCGGTCTTTCGAAGATGCAGGAGTAGACCCTAGTGAAAAAGAAGACGCGTCTAGCGCCTCTGCTCTTTATCAGAAGTCTGCGATGGAGTCGGAGAAGAAGGCGCCTGGGGATACGTCATCAGGCTCTCACTATAATGACCCACTGCCGCCAACATTATCAGAGCGACGGAGTAGAATGGCCCTGGCAGCGATACTAGACCTCCATCGAGAGGCTAATCGGTGGCTGAAGATCATGGAGTTCATGAACATGTGCTACCACGCGTCAATTGGAGGTGGCCCCCGTGCAAAGACGGCGTTTAGATACTTAAAACTGGCAGGGCGTCAATTCTGGTGCTCATTCGTTGCTGCATTTTTATCCAAAGCCGTGTCGGACGTGAAGAAGTATCTTGCGTCGTTTCGTGCATGCAACAACTGGCCTGCACTCAATCAAGATGCAAGTTCTAAGCAACCTGATGAGTCTGCAGCCCCTTCAGCGTCGACCCATGCGGCAACAACTTCGCATCATACTGAAAGCACCGGCTTGGAGCCTGGCGTGACGACTACTACAACTACGCCAAACTCTAGCTCTGGCGCTAGTAGTTTACACTCAAGACATAACCTTCTGCATGTGAACAGACACCAGAGTAGCTCAACTTCGTCTGCGTTTCCAGGAGATACTGTGCATCAACATAATGTAGAAGACGCACGCAGCACGCCGCCGCCTCCTTATGTGTTGCCAGACGTGTCTAGTCATGATTTGGAGGCAATTCAATACTGCACGCAGGTTTTGCTCTATGGCGTAGAGACAACGTATAAGGTGGAAGTTGAGGGCAGGTTCTTGTCGAGATGTGCACAGGAAAGCTTCAATCGGGGCGGACCACAAAGGGGGGAAGCTTCGTGGGGAATGCATGCGTTAGCAAGTCGGTGGCTGGAAGAGTTCTGTAGCACAACGCAGGCGCCGCAGCTCGATGATTTGTTCAAAACGCTCTTTGGTGAAGATATTAGATCTTATTTTAGCAACCGAAGCACGCTCAAAGACATGCTTGCACTGGAGAAGGATCCGTCAATCTTATCTGGAGACGAGCTGAGGGAGTTTTTTCATTTTCATTACGACACGACTGCGGAAGCGTCAGCTGCATTTCTAGAAGAACTCGTCGATTCTACCGATGAGCACCGACGTGAAAACTTGCTACCGTCAAACGTCGAGCGTGATCAAGTGCTTCTGCCACGTTGCAAATTGGCGTCTTGGCTCCTGACGCATGACGTTATCAAGAGCGGGTATGTTCTTGGATTCAGAGTTCTTGGCAAAGTTTTTGCTATGACCGACGTTGATGAAGAGTGTCTGTGTGTACTCGGAACTCCTCTGAGCAAGCCACCGAAGGAGGAGCTGCGTGAAGGTCTGTCAGGTCGTGAATTATTTGTCGATGGACATGAATCCGAAAAGGCAGAGGTGAGTGCTTCTTCATCGAGAGCAGCCTCGTCAACTTTTTTTTCGCGTACGCAACTGCCAGGGAGAGCATCTTCGTTAAAGGCGAAATCTTCGTCCTCTTCTGGTAAAAGTACTACAGAAGCACGAGAGGCACCAGGATCAGGAATAGGCGTTGCTCCATCTTCTTCTACTACTTCTGGCTGTAAAAACGACGTAGATCCGAGCTCATCTTCTCGCCCGAATCTTTTGTCGCGTCACATGGCGACATCAAAATGCGTTCCAGATCGGGTTCGTGCTTCGGACAGAGTCTGGACATTGTCGCCTCATCCAGACGATTACGACATCGAGCAGGACCTTGCTTCATTCCACGCTGGGATGTTGTATGATGGGCGCCTTCCTTTTGATGAAGTAGTTGTCTTGGAAATGATGTGCGACAAGGACACTCACGTCCCGTATCTGTCGGTGGTCTCAGAGGAGTGGTTACCAATCGAAGACGTAGCTATGCAAGACTGTCAGGCGCTGGGCCGAGCCCCTACTTCCGCCTTGAATTTTCTTCTTCAACACTATGCTGAACGCAATAGATTTGAGATTGCCAAGCTGTTCTTGTACGCGAAGAATGTAGCAGATGACGCCATCGTCGAAGAACAGGAGGAGCTACGAGAAAAAGAGAAGAAGAAAGAAGAGTCTAACCAGACAAAAGCAACAGCCAAAGAAGCAAAAACGAGAGGAAAAACCCGCAGAAAGGCGCAGGGGAACGACAATCAATCGGGGTCAGATGCTTCAGGCAGGGCTGTGCTCTCCTCGCCAAATAAGGAGCATAACGATGTGAAAATGGTAAGCAGCTCTGAGAAGTCGGCTCGGGACAACAAAGAACTGTCTACCAATAACACGCCAGCCGAGTCACCAACTCCACTCCTGAGTCCAGACATGCCGCCTCCACACGTCTCGCTGTTGAGTCCTCCTGTGATTGGCGCGGGTTCGGAGAAGCAATCTCCAGCATCAGGAGACGCATCCTCGCAAGCAAATCCAACGGCAATTGGTCGTCAGAAACGACTTGCGGTTGGATCTCTAGTACAGCAAGCGAGTCGTCGTGGCAGAAAGCGGCTGCCTCGCTATACTCCTTCGCCTGTGTCGGATGTTAACGGTACTCCACCAGTGCAACCTGCAAGAAGATCCAGCAAACGTCTCAAGCGAGGTGCGTCATTGCCGCGTGAGTCTCCCTCTTCAATTAGTAGAGGCAAGCGTGACAGCGCTGCGGCCGAAGGAAATATGAACAACAAAAGTGGCGCGCGGAGGAGCAAGTCGTCTTTGCCTCACGCAGGTGAAACTGGTGCTGAACAAGAAAAGGAGGCGTCCCCTACTCATCCTAAATTTTTCAACGATGCGGCTGCGGCGGAGCGTGCAGCTGCGTTCTCAGAGTCTTTTCATCGGACTACGCGTGTTCGACCTGGTCCTAGTGCGCGTTTTCGCTCTTGCGTTGTTCCTTTGAATCGAGAAGCAATCTTGGAGCTGCGCACTCGTGACGAGACGAAAGCTGGCTTCTTAGAGCGGAACCGCCAACGTGCAGGATCGTGTCCAACGGGTGTTGTTATCGCTAATGTAGAAGAAGCTATTGCCAGCCCATCACTGCTACCTGTGCGTGAACGATCCCCCAAGCGTGAAAACCATTACAAGCTGCAGCAAATGGCGCTCGACGGACGTCTTCAACCGATTGGAGAAGAGTTGGACTTGAATGCAGCAGCTGCAGATACTGGCCTTCTAGATGGTGCGCGGGCGACATCTATTGACTCCGCCCTTTTGTTATGGCAGAGCTGACGCGTCAGATCAGTAGAGGCCTTCGCTCAAATCTTTTTACCCAAGTAACTTTTACATCGTAATACATTTTTCTGATGGAGAAAGCTAGCACTTTTGTTTGAATAAAGACTGACAGGCATCCTTAATGCAGAAAAGGGCACAGGTTCTGACCATTATCCAGAATCTAAGTGCCTGCTTTCATTTTTCTTCGAAGTTGTTTCTTTGCCCTAATTCTTGACCGGCGAGGAGACGCCGTGGACCGATCACAGTCGCAGAAAAGGTCCCGGGTGGTTATACTCGCAAGCAACATATTGTCTGATAACGCACTCGGCGACACGCCTTTTGAGCAAGGGCCTCAGCGTCTAGATCACGACGCATCCTCGTCTCTGGAGCGAATCACGAAACGGCGTCGCGCTGAGAGTTCGCCTCTGATTCAGTCAGTTGCAGGAGCAAGCCCTGGCAAGAATTCTACTCGAGATAAACAGCGACTACTGAGGCAAGAGCACGCTGTCGCCACACCACCTAGCCGCAGCTCCTCCAAAGCTAGCCGCGCTTCAAGTGTTGTCTCTTCTAGAAAAGCTGACTCAGTTGCAAGTAGATCGTCGGTACGTGGTAGCGCTGGGCGAATTGTAACAGATCTTGGAGGTGGAAAGTTTCACTTTTTCCAGCCTGACGCGCCTCGTAGGCCGCGTCGTCGACGTAGTAATCAACAACGGGGAAGACATACAAGAGTCGGGCGTCTATCTCGAAGGCCATCTCTAGTCGATGTAGATAAGCAAGAAGATGCGCGGAAAAAAGAAGCTGAACAGCTGCAGAAAAGGGAAGCTCTTGCCAAGCAGTTTCCGTTTCTTCCACGAGAACGCAGAGCATCTGCTGGAAAACTTGGGAAGCCCTTGGCCAATACTTCTGCTTCTGCCAGTGCTGGAGAACATGTTCATCAAGATTTAGAATCTAGACCCGAGGTAGAATGCGGACTAAAAAACGACCGTGACGCAGTTGCAGACGGAGACGTGGCACGTGGTAACGTGCCTGCTTCTGCACGTCCTGCAAATGATGTAGTAGAGGCTTCAAGAGAACGTCTTCAACTCGGTTCCGCAAAGAACGGCAGAGAGGCAGCAGCTTCCGCAAATCGGGGATCTGCCTCTGGTGAAGAAGATGCTTCCGGACACGTTCGACTGGAGACAACAGCCAACCGCTATCCCGGACTCGACTTTTCAGAGAAGGATGAGCAAAATGGTTATACTTGTTACTTGGAGGATGGGCCGTACCGCGATCCCGCAGAAGAACAAACTGGATTCCGCCCAGATCAGGAGCTGCCGTGGGGGTATAGACGAACCGAAGCAGGCACTCTGATGCGGTATTGTTTGCTTGCTGGCAAATGCATTGAAGTCGCAGATCCCGTTGCACCAGATGAAAGCTCACACCTGAAAGAAGACAAGAGCCAAGACATGGAGCCACTGGCTTTTGAGTATCCTGGTCGACCACTTATGTCAACGTACGCTACTCCGGTGGCCACGTCAGATAGTGGAATGTCTTTGAACTATTCCGGCCGGCCTAGTACTTCGTCTAGTTCGCAGAAAAGTGAAAACGTTGGTCTGCCAGACGGAAGAAGGCGCTCTTCTACCGGAGGAGAACCGCGTCAGCCTGGCGCGCCGGCTGCGTCTTCTCAGATTTCTCGCGCAGGCACAACAGCGAGTGCCGCGCACAGAGGTACTTAGAGTTATTTTCGGACCTATCGTCGCTTATCTTTCAACCTGAGACGTTTTTCAAGCTTAGAAGTAGTCTCTCATTAGGGTTTGGGGTTGTGGATGAAATTCGAACTGTTTCCTTCTCAAGGTATCCATTTTATTTATTCTGTCACATGCTTGCGCGATCTCTATTATAAGTCGTCTCTTACTGCTGAGTCCATTTATTTCATTTGACTACAGCTACCGGAAATCTTGCAAGCGACCCAGGGGCAGGTATGCGCGATCGTCTGGCAACACTGAGGGAGGGAGGTGGAACAGCAGGCGTTACTCAGGTGCTGAAAGCGTCGGAGATGTTGAAGCGTATGGTTGAATCAGATGAGAAAGCTGCCCGAGAGCAAACGACAACGACTGCTACGCGCATTATATCGAGTGCAGAGGCAACCTCTCACGGAGTAGCAGGCGGTTCTCAGGAGAAAACAACAACAACAACAACAACAAGAGCGACAACATCTGCAGCCGCGTTTAGTATTGACGCAAATGGTGATCGCAAGACATCTCAGCAGAAACTAGTCGCAGAGGACACCGGGCAGCCAACGCACCCTCATGGGTCTAATGAAGAACCGTCGGACAACATCACAACTACCACGCTGTCAATCGACGAGGAACTGCCAGAGGCTGGCTGCTCGCTGCGAGAACTCGCGAACGCAATTGCAAGGCTTCGCGGAGAAAGTATGACATACCGCAACTCTATCAAACTGCTGTCGATCTTCTTCACATTGAATTTTAGTGGTGCCAAAGACCTTACGCTCGACAAGTCGTGCATTCGGTTTTTCTCCATCCAGGACCAGAGACTTCCTGTTAAGTCTAATAGCAAGGGAAAGAAGACGAAGGCGAAAGCAAAAGCAAAAAGCAAAACCCAGGCAAAGAACCAGAAGAAACCTGCTGCACAGAATCAGAACAGCACGACAGTAGAACAAGGCACTGCGCCTTCTCCTTCACTTCAAGCAGATTCTACGAAAGCAGCGGACGCTAATCCAACGGAGACAGCAACTCCTGGAGAACCAGTCGAGACTTCCTCTGCGTTTCTTGTGGGTGTTCCTATCATCGACTTGAAAGCACTCGCGGGCCGAACACTCGATCAACTACTAGGAGATATTCATCTGGAACGCCAACAAGAAGAAACAGGTCGTGCACGCAAGAAGGGGCAGAGGTCTTTATCCAACATCCTCGAAGTGGAACGACTCATGCGTCTGAGGAGCTTGGCGCGAACAACGCGCCGCAGGGCAGCTGACGCGTCTCATCAAGCTCTAAAAAAAGTGTCTCTTTTTGTTTCATCAAACGATGCGCAGCGCCTTCGCCATGCCATTGGGAATCAAGTAGAGTCTGAAATCGTCAACCGAGGCGCGTCAGCATCTACTATGTACCCGTCTGGTTTGGATGGTACGATTTTCAGTTCCAGACGTGACCATTTGCCAGCAAACTCGTCTGGAGCCGAGAATCCTACACCTGAGTGTGATGAGTGGGGGCACAAGTGTCGCATCGATCCGTCGAAAAAGCTACCACCGAGTGAGATAGCATGGCTGGAGTCGGAGGACGCCCGGCTTCACTGTGCTCTGATGGAGCAAAGATGGTGGGACCCGGTTGCTGATATGCTCGCAATCGATAAGCAGCATCGCAGCGTAGTTTACCCGATTCACTGCGAGGAGTGCGGCAAGTGGGTGGCGGACATGATGAAGAGGTGCGCTACGCGTGGGCAGCGATACCCATACGCACAAATCAGAACAGTCAAGCGGCGGCTCTTGCAGCCAAATCAGGCGGAGACGGAGATCACTACAACGAAGTCTGCCGGCAACATGAGTCATCTCATCGTGAATGAGAAGGACTTGCGAGAGTGTTGCTGTGGCTGGTGGAGGAGAGGAAGATGCTATGTAGATGAATTGTGTGCGGAGAAGCTAACAGAACCAGGCTGGTGGGGCTGCGTCAGAGCATACGCAGAAGCGTGGGGTCGTCACTTTCACGGATGTGACTGCACACACCGTCTCGACGAAATTTTTAGTTTACGTTATCACGATAAGCGATGGATTCCCAATACAGATTGAGCTATAAAAATACACTCAAGGAAACTTTGCGCATGAGTCTCGCCTCCTGGTGGGGTCGATTCTAACCTACCACTTAAAATGATAGCCAAAGCGCTTTTTTATTACAGCTTTCAATAATTTAGTAGAAGTATACTCAACAGTCAAAAATATTGTATATCGCATGCTTATGGCTTTTTTATGATTAATTTTTACACGGTTCTTCATTTTCCATCGAAAGATGATGCTCGTAGTAATAATTTTCATCAGCAGACCGAGACGCGGACATGTCCACTCAATGCTATAGCTCTCTTCTCTTTTTATACCCTTAATCTTTTGTAGGTTTATTCTATCTGTCAAACTTCATTATGTGTCTGGCATCTAGTACAATTGGTATGATTTAAGTAAGAGTCTTTGCCATGATCTTGTTACTCTCTTAAAAATAATGGACTGGCGTCTTCGTTTCTAAAAAACGTGTGGCCTATTGCTAGCAGGATCTTGCATTAGTATCGTCCCGCCTTCAGTCATGCAGTCGATTCAGCAGCTTTTACTTACTTGTGCGACGTTGTCTCGTTTTTCGTCATAGTTGATGATTGTTCTTTACAACTACCATGATTATGATTGTTTAGAACCCGCCCCATATTAAGAAATCAGTGCCACGACTAATATAACAGAGTATATATAATTTATCTGCGTCTAGTTCAGACTGCGATCGGCTTCGTCTATGACTATAATCCTGAACGATGGAAGCAAAAGGCAGTCTTCTCTACCGAGTGGGAATGTATCAGTCAACTTCTTCGGCAAGTCTGTAAGCGCGACTTGGTCTGTTATGATTGCTCAAGTGTTGTAGAAGTAGCTTCTCCCTCCACACGATGAGAGGACACTACAAGTCTATGCTTCGTCCCGTTCTTGTATGGTGTTCTTTATTGTTTGACGAAGACTACAATCCCATTGGAGTGAACCGACGGAGAAAAGGCGTCGCAGTAACAAAATGAACTTTCTGAGCGAGTGGGTGACTGAATGAAAAAACTTTTTTTCGATCTGGTGAGAAGCTGCGCGCGCACGTCTATCAATTAGTGCAACAAATTAAAAACGAGATCTTTCTGCAATCATTCTGGACGACGAGAGTCCAAATCTGAAATCATGACGAGCGTTTTTTTTCGTTCCTCGACTAGGTCGCTGCGAGATCGCCTTCACTCGTAAGGCCCATAATATAATTTGAGAAGAGACAAATCAGCTCGATCTTGGTCTAACTCGTTTCAACTCGTTGATAGGTCTAAACTGATGCGTCCGCTCTTTTTTATGATATAGATCCATACTAGATACTTTTTCCAAAGTCGTTAACCTATGTTCTTTATCGTGAAAGACAAAACAATCGCAGGAAAGCGCGTCATTTATTCTAGCTGCTCTCGGCCTTTTTGTCCCAGATAGAGTCTGTGTATTTCAGTTTTGTTTTTCACGTTTTGTGGCTGTAGTCTAGGAGCTGATGATAAGAAATGCTAGACCCTATACAGGAGTTGGCTGCTCTATCGAACAAAAATGCTACTTAAGTTACATTTCATCCGATTCAGATCGTTGAACCCGAACAGGAATTAGAGACTGAGACGCGTTCTTTGTAGAATCAAAGCTAGCACTTCATCGCGACTGTAGAGTCGCAGCGTCGTCCTATTATTGTTTGACAAGTTGTTGTAGTTGATACTTTAGAAGTTTGACGCGCACTCATATAAAAGCTAGCGCCATCTCATACTTTACTCATGCTAGTCGCCCGGTCACGACTGCGACAAGAAAATGGAGGTCGGTTTACGGCGACTGCCGTTGTGATGATGTCCAACACGCTGAAGGCGCGGATAAGAATGCTCAGAACCTCTTCTATCGTGGTGCGATACGTTGTGGCTCTCATCTAGTTGCGCAACACTGGGCAACTTGCTTCTACTCCTTGGCCATACTCGATTCTTGGTCGTGCGGTCTGGGCCTTGTTATGAAGCGCCGAAATATCGCGGCCAGCGCAAACTTCAGCCATTCTTGCATCGACATGCCCGACAGGTCAATGAGTAGCGCCTCGGCGTTTTTCTATCTAGTCGCGCCGCAACTACCTCGTCTGAGGCTGGCTCCGTGGACACCTTGACACGCAGACGCGGTGGAGAAATGGCGGGTCTCTTTTTGCTGCTGTGTTCTGCTTATACGCTTATCCCTGCGGCGTTCCTGTGGTATTTAGTTTCTGTGATTATAGAAAAGCTTTTTGCCTCGTTTTTTTAGAATTTATTTGCTAGTGCAGTTGGCAGCTCACAAGCCGACGCGCCGCACCACCTACGCCGAGCATGTGTTGCCGCTGTCGTTGCTTTTGCTGCTGCCGTTGCCGCGGGCTGCCGCAGCCGCTGTCGTTGCATGTTCTGCCGCTGGTGCTGCTGCTGTTGCTGCTATAGTTGCCGCTGATCGTTGCTCGTTTTGCCTAGCTGCCTTGGCAGCCGCCGCTGCTGTTGCAGCACTTGCCGCCGCCGCCGTTGCTGCTGCTATCCGCGCGGGTGTGGTTGGTTCGGTTTTGTTGCCCAGCCTGTCCCGGAGGCAGGCCTGTGCCCGCGTGTTTCTCGATGGTAGGACGGAAGGAGGATATCGGGCGCCGGAGGTCCAACGAGAACGCCGCCGACCTTGCCAATCAGCAAGTGGCTGCATACGCCGGACAGGTAGAAAGGCCTCGCGCGGGCAGCCTCGTGCCTTCGACGCAGATCCGGAATCCGAAGCAGCCTCGCCTGAATGCGTCGCCTCCTTGAGGGAGGTAGTTGGGAACGGTGTCGCGCGAGGTGTGGCGAGCGCGCCACAAGTATGACGCAGACCGCTACGGCTTTACGCAGTTGCTGCACAACGCTGCCAAGCATGTGGACGACACGCGAGGAGCAGGGCGATCCAAGGAAGCTAATACTTCGCCGCTCTCGGAAATGGGTCCGGGAACTATGCCGCCCGCGCCGCCTTTGGTTTGATTCCGCGATGTGCCTGACGTGTTACGCGAGGCGCGACAAATCAAACGGCTCTTCGTCGATGTCGTTGCTGAAGCCGCGTGCTTATACGGTGGGTGATATTGTGGAGCTCCGCGCGAATATTTTTGCACCGCCGCTCGGCATCGTGCTGCAGGCAGTTCACGGAGTGGCGTATGGGGCCAGTTTTGAAAGAACGTGCGAAAGGGCCGCCGACGCGACAGAGGGGCCGCTCTGCTTCCGCAGATGGAAGCCCGGCCAGACTCTGAGGGCCATAGCGCTTCTCGATGCGTCTGCTTACCAGCTGGGAGCCGCTCCTGCCCGGCCGTCTAGGGCTATCGTGCGGGGTCAGTGTAAGGCCCCGGGGCAGTTTTTTTCGTTGCAAAGTCGATCGCAGACAGCCGCGCCTGTCTGTGTGTTTTCAGTGGGGTGGTTTGCTCGTTTGGGTGCCCGTGTTTGTAGCCATGCTTGGACCCATGTGGATGGTCAAAAAAGTGCGTGGCTTCTGATTTCCCTCCCGGGTCGTGCGTTTCTTCCCGTCTGCGTATCGAGAATGAAGCAAGCTGATGGCAAAAAGCTACGCCGCTATGAAGTTCGAGCGCCTGGCCGTTCTCGTCTCGTCGGAATATCGCCGGCGCCTCTGCAGTGGTTTGGATTGCTAGAAGTGGCGCGCAGGGTCGGGGGTCGTGTTCTTGAGTCCCTGCCTGGGCTGGGGTGGATGACTACACACGCAAGCACCCGCCTTGTTGTGTTCATTGGTGAGCTCCTTTATTGTGCCGGTAGGAGGTGTCTCCCACCCCCGGTCTGATGTTTTTCCTGTCGATTCATATAGGTCGGCTAATAAAAAGGAGTCAGTCTGCTCGTCTAGTCTAGAACTTTGAAAGTTCACTTTTGTTAAAACTAATACCACGCATGTTGCCATCTTGTTTTCGCTTTAATTCATGCATGAACGCCACTCGTTTACTTATAGATAATTTTTGTAGCACCTCATCGAAGTTTTATGTGCGCCTCGGCCTCAACTAAGTCCTTTGCTCCCTCATCATGATCAACACAGCGCCCGGAGGTTGTGCCTCGCGTTCAAGTTTATAACTTGGCGCGATCGAGTCGCGAGCGTCTGGCAGTTTGTACCGCGTTGGCCGAGCCTGGTTTTGTTCCAGTTTTTACTGCGCTGAATTCGAGCTCAGCTCTTCCAGCTGCAGCGAGTAGTAGCTTTGTGTTAGTACTTCAACAGCCATCGATCGGCGGTTTCATATGCTGCCCAAGTGGTGCGCCAGATCTTCGACTTCTTTACTACTAGTGGGCCTACATCGTGATCGACTACCTGCTAGTTATAAATCTGCAGCAGCGATGGATGAGTGAAGCTGTCGGGCTGCCAGCTTATTACAAGTGTGCAGCCTCCACTCATTTCTGACTTCCCCGGCTTTGGTCTTTTTCGATACTGCAATCGCGTTTTTCTGAGGGCTTGCTCGCTCGGGCCGTCAATATTTAAGGCTATCCGAAAAATACGAGTTTGCCACTTGTGTGAATTCCGCTCGGCATGGATCTTGCGTTGAAGAAGCCGCTTTTGATTTTATAGCCGGTTCATTAGATTCTTACACAACGTAATCGGATTCTACTCCTACTACAACTCAGCTCGTAATAAGCTCTATCGTGGGCTCATATGAGGAATGTATCTACTCACGGAGAAGCCACCGCTGTGGCGTTTTTATTAATTGCAAACTAGTTGCATCTGAGTCCTTAACTCTAACGACGCGCGGAGTGGTGTTATAGCATGCTGCTGGCGGGCCAAGTTGGGGACTTATAACCTCGAGTGAAGCTAGGACTGGTCTGCGCAAGCTTGTCGCGCCTCTTCTTTATATGGAGATGGGTGAGAGGAAGATAACACCGAGAAGGAGAAAGCCCATCAAGAAAAGCTATATAAATGAGGGCGCGCAGCTCGGTGCTGTTTTCTGATTTGATTACTTTTCAACCTCGTGGTCGCTGCGGTTTGATTGCTAAAGATATTATGTAAAAACATTTATGAAGTTGCAGGCCCTTCGAGTTTCTTTATCTGACTTCATTTTTGGTGACCTGCTCCTTGTCGCAACGACTTACTTTCACTCGTCATCCCTCAGGGTGGCTCTCGCGTGAATCTTCAGCACTCGGATTTCTATTGTGCAGCAATCCCTTCGTCTGTGGTGATTTCTCCTGCTGCGTTCCAGCATCTACGACCGACCATTCTTTCTTATGACCCGAGCGGATAAAGCAACTTTTTTAAGTGATAAGACCTCAATTCCTTTTTTCTGAGGCAAAAAGGACAACGCCGCAGGTCTCAGCTGGAGAAGAGCAGCCGCGTCGTGGGTCGATTTTTATACTTCATAATATTGCGCCCACCAGATGCAGTTTTCTTCCATACTAAAAATCCGGACGTGCGCAAGTGTGTCTGGCGTCTTATGATCCTGAAAATCTCGCAGTACATCGGTGGAGTTTGAAGAAGTTACGATCAAGTGAGGCCGTGCTCAAAACCATGGATCTAAAGATCGCAAACACCTGGAAGAGGTCCAAAGATCACCGTGAAGATCTGGCAGCATCGTTCTATATCTTTTATAGATCTACCCCTCCCGCTCCTCTTCTTTTCCTCCCTTTGTATATATATATATAAGTATCTTTTTTTTTCATTTTTTTAAATATCTTTTTTCATTTTTTTAACGACCTCAAAATCATAACATAAAAAAAAACCGAATCCAACCACGATCTTACAAGCATGGATTGCCATCGCCTTCATTTTTGATTGAGATATCTGCTGCATTTTTGTCAAATTGTGAAAGAAAGCTTTGCCGCCGCATCAATCTGCAGACGGACGGGCCACATTCTTCGACGGGGACCTTGAGAAAATTTGGAGGCTTGTGATCTCTTAGCTATTGTTTGGGGCGTTTGATACATACATAGGCACATAGTTAGACACACTCACAGGCACACTCATTCACGCACTGCCGCTGACTCATACACACGCCGCCCGGGAGGTTGGTAGGTCGGTGGGTAGGCTGTCTGGTGGAAGGATGGGCGCGCGCCTACATTCGTAGACACATAGTCACGCACATAGCTACCTAGGCCGAGCAAGAGCGCGCCCCCACTGATTAACTGCCAGGGAGGCCGCTGGATACACAGTGCGAGTGCCGGGTGGGTGCCAGGCAGGGAGACCGCAGCGCAGACAGACACGCGCTTTCTTACATAGATACACCCACACAGAGACGCGCACTCACGTCGAAGGGACGGAGACTAGCCGTCCGCCTCCCTGCCTCACTTTCGTCCCTGCACTCTTTCGCACGCTCTTAGTTACTTAGTTTGCTAGATACATAGTTCGACACCCTCGCACGTAGATCAATCTGGCTAGCTATCCGGCAGACGTAGACTCTAGGCCATGAATTTGCACGTGTTCACTTTCATAGATCCGACAGATTTATCAGGTGCATAACATAGCTACGCGCGGCACCTAGCTACCTAGACCGACCGGCGCGCGGGTCGTTCCCTGGCTGGGCCCATCGGCGGGCCGCGTGCGCCAGTGGGTGGGTGGGTGGGTCGATGCATGGATCGAGGGGCGCGCAGGTGCGTGGATTGCTTAGACTGATGCACTACAGAGACGCGCGCGGGCGGCCATGAGAGGGAGAACGAAGCGAACGAATGAAGCAAAGAAACAACTCAGGAGGATCCAGCCCGATGAGAAAAATCATAGGGAAAATGTAACAAAAACGAAACAAAAACGGGGCAAACATGAAACCAATCGCGGGAGGGTGGGGTAGGTGGTGGGTGTTTCTTGGTTGGTGGTTTCGGGTTTTGTTGTTGTGTGCGATTGCTGGGTTGGTTTTTGGGTGGGGTGATGTGTTGGGAAGTATTGTGGGATGGAGTTCCGAATGGTGCACAGGGTTGCTGCTGGGGATTGACAGAAGAACTTAGGGAAAGTGTCGCGGAGAAGTCAAAGAACTGGTGGGGGCAGGGATTGGCTCGTCGTTCGGGTTTCTTTGGGGTAGAAGATGTTAAGAAACGAGCTGATTTGATTTTGGGGGCAACAGGTTGGCATCTGCAAGGGTGGGATAGACCAGCAAGCTTGTTTGTTCGTCGTCTACTGCGGGATCACGTGCGTCGCATGTTGATTCTGTAAGGTTATGACTTTTGTGAAGTCTGTTGTGTTTTCTTTGTGCTTGAATCTGTATGAGAGTAGCATTGATTTATCTGAACACCATAAGACAGTAAGAAACGTCGGCTGATTTTCTCTGTGTATTTTTTTCCAGTCGGGATTGTATGGCTGAGGAGTTACCTCAGCAAGAATCTGCTGGCAAATGTGGCGCGAGTTATGTATAAAAGAAGACGAGAGCTGTGCGTGGTGTGTGCATTCTTATGGTCTTAAGAGTAGACTGGAGCTTGATCTGTGCCCTTTCCTCCGAAAATCGGCCAGAGACTGCAGTGGAAGTTATGTGGAGCATCCCTTCTTTTGGTTTTGTATAGATTTATTTATTTGTTTTTCAGTACGTGTTTGGTAACTAAGTATTATGTAGCAAGGTGCAATGAGTTCAAAAGTAGATAGTCTTTTGCGCGAAAAGCGCAGACACAAGCCAGAGAAACTACAGCAGAAGTTGGCGGCGAAGCTGATTGCGAAGAGGGGCAAGCAATGCGAGAAAGATTCAAGCTCTGAGGATGAACAAATAGTAGCGGACAAGCAGTTTCTGGAGAAGTACGCTAGTACTCACAAGTTCATAGTAGAAAGCCGCTCGATGGAAGAGTATAGGAGGAACAAAATGGCGTGGTGTGTGGTACAAGAAACAGCAGTAGGCATAGAGGAGCTGACTGCTGATCGGCAGTGCCTTGACATGATGATAGAAAACGAGGTGGACTGTGCTTCTCGTGGTGTGAGATCAATGGGCGCGCATGCAGTGGAAATCTGGCGGGGAAGTAAGTGGCAATGTATACATCGGGTGGCTTCTTGGAGGCAGCCAGAATGCAAGGTGCGGGGGAAGGTGCAGGTGCCCACTTATGGGCACTTGTTTGCGCCGAAGCTGTCAGCCAAAGCAGACGCCATTGCAAGTCTGCATAAGGGACCCACGCTTTTGCCGCATGAAGTTCCTTTGCGAAATGCTTGCTGCCTGCGAGGCCTATGATCAAGCAGATCGCGCAATGCGCGACTTCAACATTGGGAAAGTTGCCAAGAACAAGCCGCCCGACAAATTGCTCATCAATTGCTATAGAACCGATAGTGGTGGCAGTACTCACAGCCAGCGCGTTTTTATCGGGCATGAGATGACGGCCAATCCTCTTCATCGGCCTGATTTGTTCGTCTTGTGGTTCATGAGGTGCAGAATCCATCACGGCGCAATTTGTGCCCACAACGCCACCGACTTCTTTTTGTACCTTTGTGGGATCAATCCCAAAGTCTGGGAGAAGCGGTCGCACCTCTCTGCTGTCACGCTAAGAGCAAAACGAGCTGAGATCCAAGTGGCGCATTCGCTTTTTCTAGTGAATAGCACGGACTTGGTGCCGGACTCTTCTGCTAGTAGAAATGAAGACTTGAGCACGTTTCTCAAGGGGATTAGAGTACCAGAGTCGAGGCGTCATCTATTGCGACGTGTTCTGTTTGTGGGAGAGCATGACGACCGGCGCGCGCTGATTCCACAGGGAAAAGCAAAGGACACACACACAGCAATTATTTCTGCGGGCGCTGCTGTGGTAAAACCTGTCTGGAGCAGGTGGCTGACGTTTACGACGTTCATATCGGAACTCCTTCTCTGCATGCTTTTTGGCATAGGAGTAGTAGCAGGGAGATTTTTTGGCAGTCAGTACAAATTAAAAGACGACGCTGTGCAGAATCACACGATTCCAGCCAGACGAGTTGTTGGCGTAGATTTATCTTATATTTTGTTTGTTATGGATTGACTTTACAACTTACTACTCATCAATGCTTACGCTTCTGCTCATTTTCTTACTCCGAAGTCTATAGTTGTTTCGTATACCTATTATTTTATAGCATTCGTTTCTCTATCAGATTCTTCATGGGTCCTGCTTGTTAGCATAGCAGCCATTTCGCGCATTTGGTTTGTAGACCGATAGGCCACTACTGCAGCATCGAATTAGGCAAGGAGGTCAGGCTGAGGGCCGCTGTGCTGATGGCTTTTAATAAGACCTACGACGAGGCTCGCGCCTACTTGGAAAATTGGGGCCGGATTTTGCGAGACGTTTGCTTGATCGCGCGCGTTTCTGCCTTGACTGAAGAGCAAACGTCGCAGGTATTTCTTATGAATTGATGAAGTTACGTTATGACTGAATAAAAGTGAGCATCGTTTTTCCTATCGGTTTTTCTCTTTTCACACAGATTATTCTATCTCTTTTCAGGTCAGGGACTTCGCGTTTGCTGCTCAGTTTGCTGTGCTTGCGAGTTTGGTGGAATTTGGCCGGCGGTTTGGTAATGCAAGAGACGCCCACGGAGCATTCGTTGAGAAGGTACTGGCAGGAAAAAAAGATAGCGAGGATTTAGTCGAGATGGACTTGGAGGAGGTGTATGGGGCTGATCCAGGGACTTTTTGTCTGCGTAGTCTGCGAAGTTGGGCATTGAAGGTGGAAGGAAAAGCTGAGCAGGATAAACGCCTTATGCACTTTTGTAACGTGGTGCAGAATTGTGCTCGGCATACTCGTGGAGCAGAGAAGCGCGCGCAGACCATGAAGCGAAAGGCTCAGGTGGAGAAGCAGTTCCGCACATTCTCAACAGTAGTAGGACACACAATACATTCTGACATCTACCTAGGTTGTGTTAATAGTCGGGCGGAGATGCAGAAGAAGGATCTTCGGGATGATCCTCCTCCTCCTCCTCCACGTCGATACACTTTTGGCAGAATCGTGGACATCTTTCGCAGCATGAAGTTGACTGAGGTGAATAGCATGCAGGGTGTTGGTTTACGGGGTAAAACAGTCAAGAAGTCGCACAACAAACCATCAGCTGACGACGCTTTACACCCTAGGGCACGAGTAGAATTTTGGAGGAGAATACAGGAGGGAACCACTGGACAAAACAACAATGAGCAAGAAGTAGAAACTGAAGCAGCAGATGAATGCTCAGAATCTGAACCTGAAGAAGAGAAGGAGTTTGCGGAAAAAGAGCGGACTATCTTTGAACTCAGCCAAACCGATGAGAAAAGTGCATGAAATTTGCTAGAAACTTATATAGCTGGCCGTTTTGAATTGTGTTCCCCCCTCCCTGCTGTGTTCTTTGTTGTGTTCCTCTTCAGCCTGTTTTCGCACAGGATCGGAAATTGGTAGGGCCTCACTTGTTACAAGTGGGACGCAGAGGCCTGGGGAGTTGGATCCTTTGTGCTAGTGGTTATTCGGTCGCCGCAGTGGAACACGCTCTGGGGAAGATTGCACTAGGAAGAAGAGGGGGGAGAAGAAGCTCTTGAAGAGCTTGCCAGGACTGGGGTCTGCACTTTGTGATGAGTTGACTTGTATTTGTTGGACCGATGACAATGCGAAGCGCCTCTCTGCTTGTGCCACTTTGTGAGGTGTTCCCTCTATATTCGCTGCGGGAAGCAGCTGCCTGCTATAAGTTGGCTGAGTGAATTCATTAGCGCCAACTTTTTGGACATTCGTGTCCTGCTCCTGTTCTAGCATAGCCACCGGGCATGCTCCAATCGGTTAGAGCTGGCGGCGCGCTTTCCTAACTGAGTGATTACAGCAGCAGGAGATGAGAGAACTTTGCGAGCCTGCTAAGCTCTACCCGATAGCCGGACTCGCTTCACCCAATAAGTAAAAAAAGAGCTGGCCCTTACATCCGAGATGTTACGCGAACCTTGTTTACTTATGCAGGACGTAGTAGGTGCGAGTGGGTCTTTAGTGTGTATGTGTATCATTTCTAGATCCTAGTACTGAAGCATAACGATTAGTGATGAGCTATTTTAAGAAAATACTGAAAGCTGCAAAAGCAGTTGAAGAAGGAAAATGTCTCGACTCCGCCGTCTCATCTATGCTTGCGCGAGTAGAGGAGGAGAAGCGAGCACGAGATGCAGCAGAGGCGGAGAAGATGTCCTTCTTGGAGGCCTACTCTGATTCTTCTGAGCAAACAAAACTTGGAGATGGAAGGCAGAGGAAGCGCGCAAAAGTAACAATACTAGTAGAGGAAGCTGCCAAAGAACAAATCAAAAAAGTCATCGCCTCTCCCTCGCATTGTGAGCCTACGTATCGCAAAGAGGCAGACGGGTCATCAAGAGGAGTACTGATGGCCGGAGAGTGCGGCAGGGAGGTGTGGAGGGGGAGCAAGCTTCTTATACAGGAGGCGTCGCTGTCGTGGAGAACTGCTGGCTGCACAGAAAAAGTTGAAGCTTTTGTTCCACATCCTCCAATAATATTTGCGCCAAAAGGGAAGTGGTACGAGTTGGCGCAGGAGGATGGACCACCTCCCGGTGAGGCTGCAGACGAGTGGGAAGTTCCGAGTCCGAACTCCTTGCCAGAGGCAGCAGATTTTGCTGATATCATCTTGCAGACGACCGATCTGCACTACATCTTTGGCGACTGTCCCCTCGGAAAACTAGCGGCGTTTTTATTCTATACGGATAGCGGAGGCAGTACGCTGAGCCAAGCTTTGTGGATTGGCCGTTTTTGTACAGACGGCACATTGGGCGACGTGGCGAAGAAGTTCGTGTTTTGGAGCGGCCGCTGCCGCATACACCAGGGCGCGATCTGCGGCAGAGAAGCAGCTGACATGCTGCTTACGCTATCGTCGATCCGGCCACGCACTTGGGAAAAGCGGACACACCTTGCGGCACTGATAATTACTCACTTGCTATGGCGTACTCGATTACAGTTAGGACACAAGCACAAGGAGAGTAAACGTGTAACTTCACTCGCATGAATATTGATTATTTCGCTGTAGGAGCAGCTGCATCGTGTCGATTTATGTACCTTCACAGGTTAAAACCCTGCAGCTGGAAAGAGCTGAGATAAGCTCGGGGCTTTCTCAGTACCTGAGTACGAATATGCTGGCAGTTGAGGACGAGTCAGCATTGAACGTTACACCTGGGCTGGCAGAGCTGTTGAAGCAGATGCGGGCACCAAAGGAGCAGAAGAAATACTTGAAGAGTGTAGAAATAATTTCAGGCGAGCGCGCGTACTTTCGGGTCCACAAGAAGAGCATCAAGGAGACGAGAGCGGCCATCCACTCCTTGCGCAAAGCTCTGAAGGCGCCTAGTTGGAGTAGGTGGATCACTTTTGCTACGGCCCTGCAGAAAATGCTTGCAGCAATGGTTTTCAGTATAGCGGTGATAGTAGGTCGCCTCTACGGTGATCAGCTGAAGATCAAAGAGGACTACGTGCCAAACCATCTGACGCTGAAGGAGCGGCGTCGAGGTGCTAAACCTACTAGTTATTCTTGGTTCGGCCCGTAGATCATCCTCTTGTCTTGTTTTTTGGGATCTTCTGCCTTGCTTTTTATGATCTTCGTATAGTATAGCCACGACCTGCTTACATTATTTGGATGTTTTGATCTCCACTCCACTCCCACCACCTCTGGTCTTCGTACTTTTTTGAACACTTCCATCATCTCACCTCCTTCAGATGATAACTTCACGCTTTGCACTTCCGGGCACTTTGTGCACGAACTCCGCAAGCCAGTCGACCACTATCTGCTATCCGAGTTGGGCGACAAAATCAGACCTCGCGATCAAATTCGTCGGACGTTCCGACTTGACTGCGAGGAAGTGCGGCTTTGTTTTGAAGATATAGCGACAACCACAAGGCAGATCGAGCTGATTACGCAGCAGTCACCGCTTTCCCCGGAGCAGCTAGAGGCGGCACTAGCTGATAACTTTAACCTCATATGTCGTTAGGTGCTAGTATTTGCTCCTACCTGACCCACCTCTACACGATCTAATCACCACTTTCTTCCTTCTTGTTGCCGCATCTACCGACACAGAAACACCCACAGGCCATCAGCCTTTCTGCGTCCGCGTTGTTGGCTTTATCGGCGTTGGAGGCGATGTTTGACTGGAGGTTCGGAACGGCTACCGATATTCATGAAGAATTCATGGAAGATTATCTAGCAGGATTGCGCACCTGGGCTGACCTCCGCGACATGGATTTGCCCGTTCCAAATCAAGGAGATGCCGGCGCGTATTGCTTATTGTCCTTGCGGAATTGGTTGGAGCACAACTGCAGCACAGACGAAGAAAAAATCGATCATCTAACAAGCTTCCTCAAACGCATGAACGCGGAAAAGCGTAGAAATAAAGGAGTAGAATTAAAAGCGCAGAGAAGTAAAAGAGCAGCAAAGAACCATTCTCAGTGGCGTGGAATGACTACAATTCGCCACGAGGTCACCAGAGGAGACCTCAACTCGAAACTAGGTCGTGTCGAAGCAGAGGAGATCGCAGAGAAGAATCCACCAGAACCCAAGAAGAAGAGGCACAGCTACCGGAGGGGAGTTGACTTGTTGCGCAGTAAGCGAATGCGGGAGGCAAACGAGCAACGAGCAGCAGGCGCAAGCCCTGTGAAAATCAATAAAACCTTCAATAGCTACTCGTGTGATGAGCAGAGGCGCGAGGCTGTAAGATTGATGTACTCTCATGCTGTTGAAGGTGTAGGTGGTGCGGACGAAAAGCTTCCTGCGAAGCAGGAGTGGGACTCCGATGATGAGGAGGAGGAGGAGGAAGTAGTAAAACGTGACCCAGTCAATGTCGAACAAGAGAAGTCGTACTACAAGGGAATCAAGTCGGCTGTGCAACGAAAGTGGACTACGGATAAGAGAACTGACACCAGCTTCCACAACTTAGCACTACAACAGACGCGGCGATGGTTACAGGATGTGAAGTACAAGCCGGTGGGCAACTTAGAAGTTCGGCCTCGGCAACCACATCCAGTAGAGCTGAGTCTGGCTGCAGCGTGCCGGGCTATCCGCAAGAAGAAGAGCGGAAAAGGAGACGACGAGTTGACTGTGCCGGAGCAACTAGATGACGCGACTGATTTTTTTGACGAAAACTACGACGAAGAGCAGGACGAGGACTTGCTTGACGCTCCAACTACTTGCTTTGTTGTAAGACTAGACTCTCGTGGTGGTGATAATAACGAGCAAGAGCAAGAGCGGCTTCTACCAGTGGAAGACTACTCATCCGAGTGGCTTGTCACGGTGCGAATTGATCTACAAGCCCGAGACTTTTCTGCAGTGCGAGTCAACATAGAGGAGCGGAGTGACGGACAGGCGTTCACACTGCGGCGAGAAATAGCTCATAGTCAGAAGATCTTCAGGGACGACCGCTACAAGACCGCGACTTGCAAGATTTGGGAAGCGTTGCCGCGCGGCAGGCAGGATGATGGGCGGACTTCCCTAGAACTCAAGCAGGGGAGCTTGGTGCGGCCGAAAAAAGCGCAGAGTAAGAACAAGAAGATCAAAGCAGAGGAGAAGGTAGTGGAGCTCTCCTACTTTGAACAAATCATGCAGCAGACGAAGAAAGCTACGCTGAAGCGGCAGGCGTACAGGACAGATGGCGAAATCGTGAAGGAAAAGAAGGAGCGGAAGGCCAAAAAGGATAAGAGAAAGCACGCCACAGAAGAAGAACTAGAGGAGGAGATCAAAGGAGGTTGCGAGTTGTTCTTCGATCCTGATCGCGACCTGCCCAAGCCGAAGAAAAGAATGATATGAAGTACCAGCTGAGAGAGAACGACCTTCCTCCATCAATACAACAAGATCGTCTGCGCATGAAGATGCACGTCACTGCAACACTTGTACCGTTACAGATCTCTGGTTTCCACTTGGCGGATGGTAGTAATAGAGGAACTTGCAGCATCTGTGGGCGATTCGTTGACAGAATAACAGCTTCTGCGGTCGGTACACGTGCGAAGACGTGGCTAAGAGTCATGAACGAGACCACGACTGACCTCATCACGACGGCAGGAGCCCAGGCTACTCGCCGTTTTCGATTTCCGGAGGATGGAGAAGTAACTGTTGGCCATCTCGCGGCGCTGTTTGCTGTTCGAACGAGGTTCATCCTTGACCGCGCCCGGAATGTGCTCAAGAACTCTAGATATGTCTGTCCTGACAGCTCCAAACTACAAGAGGAGTTCGCGGAGTACATCAGCGGCGCCGTTCTGCGTGGTAGACCGTATTGGAAGTCGTTGCAGGGCGAAAATGTGCGAACCTACCAGCGGTGCCCTGTCTTGTGCGACGAGGCGCTTCGGACTTTGAGCGTCGGCCGTGTGGACAGCGCTTTCGACGACTTCCCCGGCTATGAAGGGTTCTTTGATGAAGTGTAGAAGTAAAAAATTAAGTCATAAAATTAACATAGGAAGTTCTGGATCATCCAAGTAGTTCATAATATCTCCACCTACTCCGTACTTAGATGCTTTATCTCATGTCCATGCTTATTCTTGTTTCCTTTCAATTGATTAATGCCACTCCTATTTATGTCATTACAGTTTCGCCGTATTGAAAAGCGTCTATTTACATTCGTTAAAAACCTAATCACGATTATAGTTATCTTCGTCCGTCATAACGGTACTCGTTTCCTGTGTAGTTTGCTTCACAGATCGCCTAATCAATGGTCCCAAATGAATAAGAGTAATCACATCGCTCCCGTTGTTCATATTCAGTAGTGCAATTCCCTCCATAAGATCACGATTTCTAACATTGCGACGATTGTTGGGCGCCGACCTTGTATTCTTGGGAGCCTCGACGTTGTGATGCTGCGTGGGCGTCTCACCTGCTGCTCCTGGTTCGTCGCTTGTTCGGGAAACCTCTACAAGACGGCACTAGATCAGACGCTGCAGGTTGCACAGAAGACGACGTGGATTCGGCGGCCAGGTTGAGCAGATCTTGGGCAATCCTTGGCAGAAACCTCTTCAGACTGTGCAGCAAACGTTGCAGCGTGCAGACCTCGGACTCCGTTGAAAATTATGAGAAAAGATCGCGCCGTAGTCTGGATCCTTAAGATTCATCATGTCTGCGTACTCTATAAAAACTTCATCCTTTCAAAAGTTTTCTAAGAAAATTACGCAGTACTTTTCAAATAATTTCTATGAAAAAATAAACCTTTCAACTATTTCAAAATAAGAGTCCAGACTTTTCTGCATAACTTTCTCTAACTGGCCGTAGTGCGTCTGGGCAACTTGTGGAGAAGTTGCAGAAGGAGGAGTCCGGCGTGCTTGCGACTTTTCGGACCTTCTGACTTTCGAGCCAGAAGCAACGGGTGTGAACCTTGTAGAGGGCACTGAGGCGTCCCGCAGTTGCAACTAGAGGAGGAGTTGCATAGAGAATCAAATCAGCCATTCGTTATTACGTCATGTTCTCTTACGTAATTTCTCTCGTTTCTAGAGTGTTTCTGGATTGATTTTGTAGTACCCTTATCCTTGTACAGTTCAATAGCGAGCTACTCTTTGTCCCATGAAAGTAAGCAAGACAGCCCACCGGGCTAGTTCTGTAGGTAGTACAAAAGACAAGCGTGAAGATATATTTGACATGGGAATGAGCCTGCCGCAGCATTTTAGGCATTTTAGGCAATTCGTTTCGATGGTTGGAAGGAAAATGAAAATGAATCCCGTATGGGAGCCTACCACAGTGAGGGGAACTGACAGGGGGACTTGGAGAAGAGATGGCTGTGGTAGGAGCTTGCTGACGCTCGTGAAGGGAGTAGAAAGAAGAGGATAGACGCGTGTTCCGGTAGCAGAAGCTAATCTGTGACGGCTTGTGTGGCACAAGATCAGAGACGGCCCTGCTGTCTGGCGTGAGCTCTTGGTCGGTAGATGAAGGCGTGAATAAGCATAAGGGCAGGACCCTCGTTCTGGTTCCGTTAACAAGATCCGAAGAACCTGGTGGTGGAAGAAGATCATGATAGTCATTGACTTCCTTATAAGTACTTATAAAAGGCAGGGCTTTCTAGTCTCTCTATAAATGAATGACGTGCTATCTCTCTGAGGATTTTCTAAAACAAAAAACTGACTAAAAACTTCTACTAGAAAAATGATATCTCTCATGTTGTACTAGATAGCAGCATCATCAAGCTTCTATCTCTCTACGATCACACTCAAAAACACATCAAAAAATTTAGCCTATAAAACTCACATCCCTCGAGAAAGACTTAAAAAAATAGTCGCTCGCTCTCTCTCTTTGCTATACGTCACTTGGGTGCAGACGATTGGGCTAGAAGCAACAAAATCCAGTACCACAATGCCAAACAACAGCGGAAGTTCCAGCTCGCCGAACAAGAAGGTGCTGAAGGCCCACGACTCCCTGCAGGCTGCGCGCGACGTGTGTTCGACCGTCAAGCTGGAGGTATCGACTTCTTGGTTAGACATTGAATGATGATTAGACTTTTTCTTAGCTAATTCGACTCAATGAAATAAATCCACCTTCTTATCAATTAAAACGAGCTGAAAATCATAGTACTCAACTTGTAAATCAAATAACTCATCATTAATTACTCGCTCTCCTACATCATAAACCATCCAACACCATAACAGTGTGAGCCGAACGTCGTGCACAACGTGCGCGAGGTTTTCCGTGACAACAACCGCAACAAGAAAAAGACTGAGAAGGCGACTTTGACGCCAGGACCTGTTCCCTTACGTTCTGACGCCATGAACGCGGTCCAACAGGCGATGGCTCGTTGCAGCCAGAAGGCCCGCACGATTGCTGCACTTGTCCAGGGATGCAAAATGGCTGAGTCCATCGTGTCGGAACTGGGAGGCCTGGACAATGTGAACGCAGCGGAATTCGATTTGTTGCGCGTACTTCAATTATTACCCTTGTGTGTTAAATAGAACTGCTCTATTGTAGAGACCTTGAGTAGGGAGCTAGATGCAGAAGGTGAGAGATTTACGGACTTAGATCACAGGTTCCACTTCATAGGTATTAGGAATTTTTTTAACTTAATTCCAACTAGATTCTTTTTCATGAAAACAGAGAGTATTCATGATTTCAATCTGGGCATCTCTTCATCAGTACCCTTATCCCATTGAAATCGTTCCACGTCATCCCTTACAGGGCGCTTTGCAGACCTGTGGGGAATCGCAGACGACTCGCGCAGCCGCAGCTCGTATGCTCCGTGCAATTGGGCGCTGCATCAGCATGATGGAGAATTCTGGCCGCATCACGTGCTTGGAGCACATCGCTTTGGTCGTGTTTGAGCACGGGATTATCAAAGCGCGAAACGATAGATCCGGACCTCGACCTTACAACTTGACCCAGATGCGTGACTGGTAATGTATTACCTTTTTTGTGATGCGCAAAAATGTGGAACCTTCTCTCATGTATAGGAAAGTGAGTGCTTTTTTGTAGTTTTGAAGACATTATCCAGATCGTCGTGTATTATACTGGTAGCGGATGTTCTTTAGATCTCAACTTCTAGAGTGAACGGCCCCCATCTCAACTTCGTATCTAATATCTCAATACCTCACACCACCGCAGGATGCAGACCAACGCGGACATTCTGGAGCACGTGAACTGCATGCAGCAGTTCTACGATGGTATCTGTGAACACATCAACCACGGCGAGTTTACCAAGATCAAGGAATTGGCTACCCGTGCAATTGCTCAAGAGCCAAACAATTCGGTTCTCCGCAAGTACTTCCAGAACCCGACGATTCAGGAGGTAACGAGAGCCTTGGGAATATATCTATTTACATGGGTTAAAGGATGCAACTTTATACTTATACTGATACCATTTCAAATTAGAAAACGAGTAAATCGAGTGATGAACTGTGTGAATATTCAGAAACAATAGATCGCTTTAGTTACTGCCATAGATATCCATCCTTAACGATCGCGTCCCCCTTTCCTTCAGGCGATTCGTGCTGCTGTGAAGGATGGAAACGAGAGCAAGCTGGCTGGCTTGAAGATCAACACTGAGGCGAGCACGGTCGATTTGAATGGTATTCCGATTCCTGTGGCCGTCGCCACCATCCAAGACTGCCAGTGGGGCTTTTTCCTGCAGCTGTTGGCCATCTGTGTCCAGCAGTGTTGGAACGTATCCATCGAACGTGTCCCGTGGAAGTTGGTACTTTGTATTCCTTTCATTTCGGTCCGCAGATGTGAGAGTGATGGGAGAAAAAACTGACCCTAGTGAAAAAACCTCTTTGAACTACATACCACTGAAATTGATCAACATTTACAGCCTAGACGTATTCGACATCATTCACGAACCTTAACTCTACTACAGCTTGACGGACCCCGCTGCCACACCTGGTTTGTGATGTTGGCGACGCACATCGCTATCCCGTTGACGGCTCCTATGTTTCTTGGCCTGGCTTTGTTGTTCAACGTGATCGTCCCCGTGGGATCCGGATTTCGCGTACTTCAAATGAGAGTGATGCTGATATAAATAAAAGAGCTGTGCTCTAGTAGGAAGAGATAGAGAGAAATGCTACAGATAGTCAACTATAAAATAACACGAATTTCATCTCTAATATCTTGAAATCAAACACAGCCAATAAGTATCTACATAAGACACACAAGCTATCCACTCGCTAACTTCTAATTAGTATTTTTTTGCCTTAATAAATTCTTCCACACCCCGCACAGAGCCGCGCGCTGTCGAAACAGCTGGAGAAGTCGATGCCGACTGGAAAGCTGCGCCGCAAAATTCAGGCCTTGTGTGATAAGGCGCACCTTGCCGACGTGCAGGAGTTCATCCACCACCTGAACGCCATGTGCTCCCACATCACGAGCAGGCAGATCAATAATCTGAGCGGTTGGCTCGACTTCTTCAAGATGTTCGAGGCGGAACCCACGAAAGGGTTTGCGTCTGTTGCGAAAATGATGATCGCACTTATTTATGCGATGCGCGGCCTCGTCGCGAACACGCGTGATCATGTGGAGAAGATCGCGCGCTTCTTGGACGAAATCAGCAACGCAGAGACGTTGACGGAGCTGAAGGAGGCGCTGATGGGTGTCCGTGTCGCGTTTGTTCGCGAAATGGCACACGAGGCTTTCAAGAAGATGGGCGAGAAGCTGGCGGCAAGTACTAACATTTAGGTCGCGGCCAGACCTTTACTTCAATGCGTCTGAGTAATTTCTCTCGGTTATATGAACAATCCAACTCTTTTTTATGTCAGTTCAGATACGTCGCCACTCATTTGCAGGTCCTTACAAAAAAACCATCTAAATCCACGACTGATCTCTCACGAAATCACAACGCCAGATCTACCGCGCGACGCTATGGACGTGTTTAACGGTATGGCGAATACCTGGCACTTCGTGGCCTTATCGCAGATCACAGCTTACGCGCAGAAGATCGACACGGCCATGCGTGCGATCAGTCCCCAAGGACTTGGAAACGACGCTGTGCAGCAGAACAACAACATCCAGTTCTACCTGCAACAGGGTGAAGATGGACAAGGAGACGCGCCGGGGGCTGCAGCTGATGGCGGTGAAGAGGCCGAAGAGGAGGGGAACGGCAGTGACGTGGAGATCATCGGGGAGCAGGCTGCTGAGGTCGTTGAAAGCAGTGATGGCGACTTGTAAGCATGTCGTAGAAGGCCACAAGGAGGAGGAAGAAGTGGTCAAGGGAAAATTTGACTTTTATCGGGATGTTGTAGTAGTCTAAAGATTCTTCAGACAGTATTGCTAGGAGAGCAAAGAAAGATTACACTTGAGCAGAGTTTCGCGCCATCACTTGTTCGTTGTATCCGTAATGTTTTTGCTTGCTTATGGTAGAAATGGAAGAGAGTGCGAGAGCATGACACTAAGACCTTCTCTGCAGTTGATCACGTCTAGAAGATTCACAGACAACCTTTGGAGTAATTTTGATCTTTTCACTGTTTCCTACTTTGTCTCGATCAGTGGCTCCCATAATATGTTGTTTCACCTACGTAGTTCGGAACTCGCAACATGATAAGCAGCCAAAGTACTACACAGTATGAATTTATTTCAATCATGATTGTTCTTGAAAGGTGGCAATTTCTCTTGATCTTGTCCTATAATTTTTTCTCTTTCTCCAGTTCTTGTGACTTCTCTTGCACCATGTTACTTCGCTCAAATCTATCCTTTGTTAAATTTCTTGACGCATTGGATAGATATGTATAGGCCCGTAATGTCACTCACTGAAGTCTGCGGATTTTATAGTAGGCAACTCATGAAAAAAGAAGTAATTCATACAATGAGGAGAAAGACAACGTAGCAGAGTCAGTCGCTAGCTGCTTGACGTCTGTAGTTTCGTTTGTAAGACTATCGGCCGTTTCTTCCGATTGCCGACGAGTAATTTCGCTCTGCAGATATAAGCAAAATATACACGAAATTCATCACGATTGAAAGAATGAAAGCACAGCAATAAGCTAAGTATATGAGAACTATAACAATGATAGACACACTTGAGAACTCGACCCAATGAATCACTTCACCCGAGACGCCGCAGCGTTCTCTTCAGAGCGTCATGGTAGTCAGGGTATCAATGTCCACCCTCAACAGAAACACTCCCTTCTCCTCATGAGCTTCCTCTACTTGTGCCCCCAGCACGATAAAGAAGCACTACAGTCAGACCGTAAATGAACTGAACGATATAAAAGAGAAGCACCCGAACACAACAATACGCATATGAGAGAAGTGACGATGCGCCTAGTGTGCTAATGCAGACCACCCTACTATTGGTAGGGGCTCGAGTGCCAGACTTCGCGGGCAGGCTTGGCCTGTTGTTTCCCAAGTGTTGCGTCTGTAGTCGGGTGAGGATTCTGATCACTGAGCGAACAAGAGCAGCAAGATGATGCTGAGGAGGGAGGAGCAACAAAGATGGGGGTCGCTCTGGCTGTGGTGTGTTTCGGTTTTTGAGAGTTTTGAAGGCCTCCGTGGGTGCTCTGTCGTTTCGAGCTTGTCGGTCCAGTAATCTCCCACTAAAACCGAGAGACACGAGCGAGACCCTTACCCCCACGCTTTTCCTTTATCCTCGCGCCCTTTTGAGTGATTGAGTTAGATTCTTCCGGCTGTGTAAGTTTCTAGAAGTTGCAGGGGTGGGCTGATCCGGGGGGCGCTGGGTTCAACTATCTGCAAAAATGAGTTGAAGTTTTGGACACAGCTGCGAGCTCGTTCTGAGAAACGTTTCCACTCTGATCGTCGTCCAAAACACTTCTGGCAGCACGTCGTCGATGATTCCGCTCAACGGTGGAAGCATCCGAAGCCAAAAACTGGAGTAAGTGTTTCTACTTTAAGTGAACTACAGACGCACCGCTTGGAGATGGTCGCTCTATCGGTTGTTCGAGCGCTTCGACAGAAACAGAAGGAGAATGAGACAGCTGACGAATTCCGAGTAGTGAACGACGTGGAAGAAGAAGAGCAGGCGGAGCTTCTTGATGATAACTATGCAGACGACGACGCTGATGAAGCTTTTGATCTGCGGCAGCATATTAGCACCATTTTGATTAAACTTACGCCACCACCTCCAGACGAATTGCTGGACGACGACAACGCGCAGCAAGAATCTCGTTGGCTGGTAACAGTGCGGGTAGATTTGAAGGAGCGCGACTTCTCCGGGGTATGGTGCGACGTTGAGCTAGATCAAGAGCAAGGAGTTTATCTGCAGCCCCGTGGGGGTCTTCTCCATAGTCCTCAGCTTCATGCGCATGATTGTTACGATTGGGCGTTCGAGCTCTTTAAATGCAGACTAGGGGGAGCAGTTGTAGACGATGTTCCAGAAGTTCGTTTGTTTCTTGGAGCTAAAATTCAGACGAAGAAAAGCAAGGCGCAGGCGGCAAAGGCGAGAGTCTTGGAAGCAGATTTCAAGTTTGCCAGTAAATGCGAGCAGCTTCTATACGAGAAAAAACAATGCAGCACTCAGGCGGAAGTGATAAAGAGGCAGAAACAACCAGCGGCGGCTGCAGTGTATCACAAGAAGCAGAAGGTCGCGCCTCATCCTCGGGACAAGCTGTTGAAAGAGAAGCAGGGAGGAAAACCAGACGCAGCTGAGAAAACAACGATCAAGAAAGTAGAAGGTGTGAAAGCTAGTGGCTCTTCTCCGGCTAAGAAGATGAAGGAGAAGCTGGACTCTGCGGCTGATCACAAGGAGCAGCAGGCGCGCACTCGACAAAAAATCAGTCGGGACATCTCTCATCTTCAAACTGAAGGCTTCGTGACGAAAGATGGCAGCAGTGCGGACACTTACAAGACGAAAGGGCGGCACGCTGACAACTTGATGTGTAACGTGCAGCCGCCTTATGAGAAGCTGTGCTTGGAGTGTCTGCGAAAACGAGGCCCGAGCTTCATTGTTAAGGGGACAACCTACGCAAAGCGGAAGTTCGGGCTTCAAGAGGATTGCCACGTGCGTTCTGCTGAGCTGGCAGCGTTGTGGGCAGTCCGGGTGCGATTCATCCTCGAGCGCGTGAAGCCTTGGCTGAAGAGTGACGACTTTAGATGTGTGGACAAGCAGAAACTAGTGCGGGACTTCGAGGAGGCGACTAGTCCAGCTTTGGAGACTGGGCAGAAGTCTTGGGCTAATCTAGTCAGGGACCAGAAAACAACATACACCAAATGCCTTACATTAGATGACTGGTGCTTACAACATCTTGACTCCGGGGCGAACAACAAAGAGTATGAGGACTGGGGCCAGGAGCGAGCCACATCAAGCGAGGAAGACGCAGATCCTTGAGGGCGTTGGGTGGGACTCACGGCGCGCAAGTTGATGGCAGGGCAGTTTTCTACATCAGGCGCTTTTTCCGCGAGCTTGGGCGACTGGTTAAGGCTTATAGTGGACATCTGAAGCTTGTGGCCGAGATTTGTATCTTTCTATCTTACCCTTGTATAGTTTTATGTGTAGTTTATTTAGATTCACAGGAATGCTATGTACAGTTAAATGAACGCAATATGCATCACAATACTCAGGGAAACTATTCTCTAAATGTATTGGGAGTATGGTAACGTAAACGTCACGAAGGAAACGACAGGGAAGCCGGGGTGCTCTTATTTCGATTTGTAGGGCATTTTCATAATTTTAGCCCTAAAAATCACCCTAAAAAATTACGTGTAGAGTATTGATGTAAAAAAATAACGGCGAAAATTCTACCGCTAAAAAATCACGAAAAAAAAATAATGTATCAAAGTGTATAGGTCGCGCTAGTTTTTGTGAAAAAGCTAACTGAACGGGAGCAAGTGTAGCCATCTAGTACTAACATACGCAGCAGCTGCAGCGAGTTTTAGAGGTTTGAAGTGCAGCACTGCGGAACTTTCTGTCAGTAAATATTTTGAAAGCATATACTTCGGGCGTTTTTGAATACCTAAGTCTCGGCCCAGATGTCCGCTACTAGACCTCTCGTTCCTCTTCCGAGACAACCGCCAACATTGAAGAGAAGACAGCGCTCGTCCGAAGTGTTTTTTGGCGGTGATTTTTTTTGCGTGGTTTTTTGGCGAGTTTTTTTTGGACGCGATTTTTTGGAAGGCCGGAGCCCAGCGAGAGATCCTCACGATCAAGAGACTACGACGTGCGAAGACTTTCATGGTCCAACTGTACTATAATGTGTACTACTCATGCACCTTGCTACTGTTAGTATTCCTTCATGAAAAGTTTTGTTTCCTAATTGTAAGTTGGTTAAGTTGATTCAGTACGGATTTCGCTCCTTAAACAAGATCTCTTCTGTATAGATGTGTATAGACGTGCTGTATAGTATGTGGAGCTATTTGCTTTTATTATGTGCGTGTTTATGGGCAGTCCAGTGGGTACTTGTATGCTTGTACAGCATTGAAAACGATCCATTGATCCATCACAATTTTTCCGCGATTTTTCTAAACAGTACCGGGAAAGATCACCTCGCAGCTTTTTCCTTGGTGTTCGTTGAAAAAGTTCCAGGCTAGAATCTATTGTGTATCAGATATGTAAGGACAATTGGGAGACTCTTCGTTCAGATGTTCAGGTGGTGAGTTTCGTTAATCGTCTAAGCATCATCTCTCTTTCATGAATATGCATAAGGAAATCAATAGTGATTCATATCAAACATCTCAACCCAACTCAATTTTAGCCTAGGAAAATCGAGAGAAAGAGAAGTAGTAGTAGAGCACTCGCTCTTCAGTCAAACAGCGAGAAGATCTTCGTTCGACAAACAAAAGAGTCAAGCAATATGGCCCAACGTCCCGGACCTTACGGAAACAACAAAGGCGCCGGCAAGTCCGGCCCAGCGGGTGGCCGCCCGAAGCGCGTGTTAAAGCGCGAGGATTCCGGAGAGGTTGCCCGCGCCATTGCGTCCCAAAGTCTGGCTGGAGGCCGCGAAATGTGAAATGAATGCAAATGCGAACTCCTGCTGATCTACTCGGGTTCCCTCTAGTCGGTGTTTTATACTATCGGAGATCATAAGAGTTTCACGCTCCGGAGATCTCAGGTAGTCTTCTGGATGGTCTTCGGAGAGGGCTGGGGAACTCCCAGCGAGTCCACTCTCGCACCTCAACCAAACCAACAGTGTCACCAGGCACTGCGTGATCACCAAGTCACGACTTTGGATACCTACGGCGCCACCAAGCACGGCGTGAATACCAAATCACGTCTACGGATACCAACGGTGCCACCATGCGCCGCGTGATCACCAAATCACTTCCACCGCCACCACCACCACTACCAATAGCGCCCTCTCCCCGGCCACAGCCCCGTATAGGCTGCGGGCGGGAGCAGGCCTCTACTGCTGAAGCACGTTAGCATGCCGCTTGTCCTCTTATGGACCCGCGACAATAACATGCACAGCCGACGAAAACACATAACAAATTATGTGCGAACAGGTCCTGAGAGAAGATTTAGAAAACATGTCCTGCGGTAATGCCATCCCCCCGTGGGGAGCGGCTACCCTTACTAAGGGGCTGATACCTGAAGCCAACCTTACACCCGCAACAGGGCCGAAATAGTAAATGACTTACGTTCAGTATATCCTCTGTTTCTAACCAACTTAGAGCTCTGATCACCGCGTGAGAACGAGCGAACCACCAGCCACTACGTACCCGTGTGCGGGGGGAAGAAGCTTTTTGCTCCCATTGACGGCTCATATGAAGCAAAGTTCTGATTTTTGCATACGAGAGGACAGATGTACGAGATCCAAAAATCTGTCGTGAAATGAATAAGGGAGAAGTGACCCGCCCGCGCTTTGTTCCGCAAACATACTATGGCCTACTATCAAACCCTAACGGGGAGAGGGAACCACGACAGGGGTGGACTATGAAACCCTCTTACTGGCCGACGCATCCAAGTCACCGCTTCAGGAATGAAAGAAACGAGCTACAAACTTGCGGATCCTGTGCTCTGTTTTTCTCGTCCAGCGATCTGGACTTGTTGTGATCTAAGCTAGCAAAATTACGCCACTTAGGCCCACACTACAGTGCGCCGAAACTTGAAGCAAGCCTGAATCCTGACGGCTACAAGTGGCACTATACGAAAACTGACTAATTCAACAAAACATAAACATACAATAGCTACCACCCCACCACTTGAAACAACGATAGCACTCACTTTCACCAAAACCCAGGGAAAATACAGGAGGAAACTCTTAAAGAATCTACTTCACTCTCAAGAACCAAAGCTACAAAATGGAGGCACAGCAACGTCCTACCATTGCCTTCGGGCAAAACCAGGCCACGTTGGCGCGGGACTTGACTGCGCCAGAACTGGCCGCGGTCTATGTCCTCAACAAAAGCATGGCGCTCCTCTTGGATCCTCACCCGCAACTAAAAGAGGACTTGGGAGGAGTCATGGCTACCCTCACTACCATGCGGGTTGGTCAGAATGACGCTCCGCTGCCAGCCGAAGGCAAAGATTGGAACAAGGCTTATTTGGCCTACGTTTCGAACGTGGAAAAATATCACAAGGAGAATAATTTTGACACGGCCTTTTTTACCAAACAGCGAGCGGATCTCTGATTGCTTTAACGCGCTGCCGCAAGTTGTGTTGGAACTCGCAAAAGCATCGGGAGGAAGACGTGGCATTGAGGCAGTCCGTGAACACTGTGATGTGGATACTCCAGCCTGTTTACAGGATGCAGGAATCCACAGTGACTACACCTTCCTTCACGGACACTTCGCCGATAACAACCTGGCACCCCTTACACCATTCGCGACCGCCTAGCACAGGCTTTGAGAATTTTCCTTGTAGGCAATGCAGGCATGTGCTCAACATACTCTCAAGCTGCAACATACCTCAATCACCACACAGCATGTCGCCTTAAGTAGCCTCTGAATATCCATACAGGAACTACCGGACGGCTTCGGCCAACCTCAAGGCCTACCAGTGCCACCTGCTCAACTCCAACCACCTGCCCAACCGCCGGCTGACGTGGCTGCTATGGTGGCAGCTCAGGCCGCCGCAGCTTTGGCGACCATGAAGGAGAAACTCGACCAGGAGTACGAAAAGAAACTCAAGGAGGTCGTCATCAAGTTCAAAGAGGAGGACCAGACCACCCCGGACTATAACGTCACTAAACCAGATGAACGCGGCACCTACCCAGATGCGGCGGCTACTGGCTACCGTACCAAGGAAGAAGCCTCGGATGTTCCGGGCTTCAAGGACCCTGACGAGCAGGGCCCTATTGCGGTCAATGCGCTCCGGTCTCTCCGCCTTCCGCATGGTGATGAACAAGATCAGGACATCTCTATCCAGATCACATGGCACCTCTACCGAGTGCTATTACTTGTTTTGTCCCGCCTGCCAACGGACTAACCCCACTCAGAGAGAGGGCTCTCCCTTGAGGGTCCTCATGATCGGAAAGACTTCAGCTGAGTGCCCTCCATTCAGATTGAGGGCTCTCCCTTGAAGGTCCTCAGGATCGGAAGGGCTTCATCTGCGAGCCCTCTCAGAGTGAGGGCCCTCCTTTGAGGGTCATCATGATCGGAAAGACTTCGGCTGAGTGTCTTCTATTCAGATTGAGGGCTCTCCCTTGAAGGTCCTCATGATCGGAAGGGCTTCGCATCACCTCCGAGCCCTCTCAGAGTAAGGGCTCTCCCTTTAAGGTCATCTCTCATGCTCGGAGGAGCTTCATCTGAGGGCCCTCTCAGAGTGAGGGTTCTCCCTTGAAGGTCCTCGCTCATGATCGGAGGAGCTTCACCTGGGGGCCCTCTCAGCGTGAGGGTGGGCTCTCCCTTGAGGGTCATTTGGGTGTCTCCTATTCAGAGTGAGGGTTCTGTCTCCCTTGCAGGTTCTCTCTCATGATCGGAAGAGCTTCATCTGAGGGCCCTTTCAGGGTGAGGGTTCTCCCTTGAGGGTCCTCATGATCGGAAAGACTTCAGCCGAGTGCCTTCTATTCAGAGTGAGGGTTCTCCCTTGAAGGTCCTCGCTCATGATCGGAAGGACTTCATCTGCGAGCCCTCTCAGAGTGAGGGTTCTCCCTTGAGGGTCCTGCCTCATGATCGGAAAGACTTCAGCTGAGTGTCCTCGATTCAGATTGAGGGCCCTCCCTTGAAGGTCCTCGTGATCAGATCGGAAGGGCTTCACCGACCTGCGAGCCCTCTCAGAGTGAGGGCTCTCCCTTGAGGGTCCTCATGATCGGAAAAACTTCAGCGGAGTGCCCTCTGTTCAGATTGAGGGTTCTCCCTTGAAGGTCCTCATGATCGGAAGGACTTCATCTGCGAGCCCTCTCAGAGTGAGGGCTCTCCCTTGAGGGTCCTCATGATCGGAAAGACTTCAGC